AAAAAAAAAAAAAAAAAAAAAAACAAAAAAACAGGAAAGGTTATTTCCATTTAATTTGAACAGATTGGTTTTGGAGCAATACAAGGACTTGATTTATTTTCGGTGTAAGTTGGGGGGGAAGGAAGAGACAGTAAAACATTTACACTGCTGAGACCAATGCATTTCAAAGCAGCATTGTGTGGCATAGAGCAGGATGGGCACAGAGCTGATAGATGTCCCAGGGCTGCCAGCTGTGATAGCTCATTCTCCTGCTGGCTGACTCATCATGCTCAAATGCCAACTCTGGAATCAAGAGGGAAAATTATTCGTCCTTTAATAGCCGAAATTGAAAAGTTACTTTCAAGAGTAATAAATGCTTTGGTCAGTATAATTTCTTTCCTTTATTTCTGAATTTCTTTAGATTTGTGGGAAGTATGAATATAATGGAAAATTTCTGATTTAATGCACTCTTTCATGTTGCTAAATGTAACTTTAGAAGTAAACATTATGAAAAAAAGTCTCTCCCCAAAGACTGAAAAAGAAAAAGGCCTTGATGTGAAATGTGAAGTTAGCCTCTCTGTTAGGTTTTGAAAAGATTGCAGGGTGTCTATGTGTGTCTAATTGTTTTTAAAGTCTAGTTTCTAGTCTAAACAGAATTAAACAAGCTACAGATTTCTGAGCAGTTTCATTTGAGCAATGTCCATAGAGATCTCCCTCTGGCAATATGATAGCAATGAGTGCTGAAGTAGCATTTACATTCCTGAAACTTGGATGGTTTTCCAACTAGAATAATTTGTTTAATAATAAATAAACAAAATACTCTGCTTCTGTACCTTGCTTCTGTAACAAAAGCAGTACATGTTCTAAATGTGGTCCTACTTCATACTGAATATGACTTGTTTTTAATAAGCTTAAATTTGAGTAAGGAGGCATTAAAACAAGTGTTTTCTTTATTAATATTTGCAGCATGTCTCTGCAGAATATATATATTTTTAAAACATTTCACTGGTTCTTTTTTAGCTGCTTGGTGGCAGCCTTGTGTTAAGGAGCCGTGGGAGCTTTTGGCATTTTGAGTGCTGTGTTGATTTTGATCAATTCCAAACATGATAAGACATTAAATTTTGATCTGTGCATTGTCACTATGTCTGTACCAGGCACTTCTGGTAATTATGCACATATGGTCTTTAAATGCCTCGTGGAAAAATAGCTCTTATTTCGTCAAAGAGGAAAGATAATGATAATAATTGATAATTAAGAGATTGGTTGGAGGCCATTTATAATGCTTTTAAGTCTTAAATAGTGATTACTCAGAAATGGAATGTTTGGATAAGCACACCAGGGCAAAGACTGTGTAAATTGCATATCAGATGCCAGCAGCCCTCATTTTCCTGGGCAGACCTTCACGGGAAATCTGCATGTCCACAGGTGAACACACGGCCCTGTGTGCTGTAAACAGCCTGGCTTTCACTCTCTGAGCTGCATCACCACCTAGCTACTCCTGAGAACCACAAATTCCCTCTGCTCTTGTCTCACAGGACCCTCCCATGGGAAAGGGTCCCCTGCTGGTACAAAATGACAGTCCTTTCCTTTGGTACCCAGGGCAGCAAGGCCAGGGATGGCAGTTCTCCCTGGTCCCTGGGGGAACCCGAGGTAGTGCCACCCTCAGCTGCTCCCTTCAGTTCCTCCACAGCTCCAACAGTGAGGGGACAATCCTGCCCCCCTGCAGAGCTCTGAGCTGGCTTACTGGGGCACAGCTGAGCTTTGGGCTGCAAGATGAAGAGCCACAATTAATTCTCAAAGGCTGAGATGTAATCCCAAAATATTTCTATTTATTATCTGTTATCCAATATTTCTAGATATTATCAACTGTCTAGTAGGCAGCCAAGCAGAAAGTTCTGCAGAACCTCCTCAACATGAGACCAGTGTTGTGTGTGAAGATTTCTGCAAAGCTGAAGGGGAGGGTGCTGCCTCCCCAGAGAAGGCAGCTGTGTATTCTGCAAACATCTGCATAGAGTATTGCCATTATCTATGGTAATGGATCTCCCGACTCCTGCTAGTGGCAATCATGTTGGTATGTCTGAGCTCTTTGTCTCTGCCCCCCGTAGCAGCAGAGTAAAAGCTACTGTCTGTCCCTGCCCTCCTCTGACAAATTTCATTAGCATGAGCAGGTTTGCATCCCTTTGGTAATATCACTTGGTTTCAAACATGGTATTTCTGAATCACAGTTTAGCAGGAGATTTTCAAACAAGCATTTAATGAATAATAGATAGAAACAGAAAGAAGGCAGCTTAAGAATTTTAGAGAAAATTAAACTAGCAGCTGTTAAATATTGTAGCAGTCATTACATTCAGAAGTAATCTGCTACCTGTCCAGGAGACTTACACATTTTATGTGTAATGGAAATGAGATTTGGTTTAATCTTGTCACACCATGATCAATTTGTGTCTCTGAGAGCTCAGCATTTGACACCACCTTTCTGCAGTGCCATTTGCTTCAATACAATGCAATTAATAAACCAGCAGTGTATAAAGATGTAATTTGCAGCTCAGATGGTAAAAAGTCTTCAAAGCAGTAAAGGCAGATGTATCAGTGGATGATAAAACTCGATATTTCCTGTTTTTAGAGCTCCATCATAGGTCATGTATTCTTCTTGTCCTATATGACAACTTGCCAAGTGTCTTTATTTCTTGACATAATGCTGGGAAAAGCAATGACATAGAAATAGACGCTTTCATATTTTTTAAAGTATTTGTATAGAGATATATATGTGATATAGAAGAACATAAGTAGCATATATTGTTTATACTTATACATAATATTCTGTAAGAACTAAAACTGGAAATAATTCTGTGCACATGGGACATTTATCTCATTGGGATGGGATTGTGCTCCATCTATGTACATTGCTGTTACAGTGTTCAGAAATATTTAAATTGAGAAGGAAGCTTGCAGAAAAGTTACACTTTCTTTTTGTGATGTTCATGAGAATTAGTCCTTGAGAATGGCATTTTGCCTGACTGTGGGGGAGGCTTGGCAGGATTCTGCAAGCAGGCAGTGGCACTCATATTCCCAGTTCTGACTGGAGAGCTAGCTGCCAGGCCACCTGTTAAATGCAGCTGAGTCGAGACCTGTCCATTAATGCCTGATTGTTTATTTACACATTTTTACACATTTTTCCTCCAGGAAGCTTGTTTAGTGGGCTCAGGCTGCAATGTCAGTCCCTACCTACACAGGCCAGAAATGAAGGACTCCAGGAGAGCTCTGGTCATTTATGGTTGTGGTTCTAGATTGGTTGTTAGACACCTTTAAATAGAGGTGACAATTTTGTTTCTGGTTTTGTTTGGTTAGAGACAAACTCATGAACAGTGTCTTCACTGGTAGAGCAAAGTAGGACTCACACTATGCCATGAAAATGAACAGTCAATGACAGAGCCTAAAAGGGGTTCACACGTCAAGCTTGAATATAGTTCAATGAAACAATTTTCTGATGAACAAAAAACTCTAGGATTTCTTGATTAATGGATATAGTTGAAATCTTTGGTTGAGGAAAAGATTGACAAAGAGGATTTTAATGAAACTTCTACTGGATCAATACAAAGGAAAAATATATCTGTGTAATATTAAAATTGAATACACTGGAAGATTTAGACCTAAACTAAGTAGGAGGGATTTTAGTCTTCAAACCTCTGCCTCACCGACAGTCTATGAAAAGTTACTGTAATCACAGTTCTAACTCTATCATAGAGAAAGTGAAGGCTGAGAAGTGCAGCCAGAGTGGCAGAATAGCAGGTTGGCCAAGTCACAGGGTAGGCAGACAGCAGAGCACTGGGTTTGTGTGCAGGTGGTGGGTGAGTAAAGCAGCAGGCAAGAAGAAGGACAGATAAATGAGATGTGCAGGCATGATCTCTGGAGGCAGACTGATACCAAGCAGGGCTGTGATAGGAATTATCGATGCACTGGAAGTCCCACTCTGTTCTTGCACAGGAGAGGAGGGTGAAAAGGGGAGGAATTCATGGCTATCCTGCGGTGAAAAACTGCCCATAAAGCACCAAGAGCCTTTTATCAATGTACTACAGAGGCTTTACTGCAGCAGCCAAGTCTTCCTGTTGCACACAAAACGCAAAGATGAACGGGAAGGTTTCTGAAAGACTTACATAAGGTAGTAAAAAGAGAAAGGTAAGATAGCAGAGAAATCTGGATGACCTGCATAGCTGCAAGAGATCTGGGAGGGAAGATATGACATGAATTCTGTAATTTCAGCAGAACTCTCAGCAGAATGTAAATTCTAAGGCAATAATTGTCATTTTCTGATTCGTTAGTCCAGAAACCATACTTTTATATAAACGACCAGAAGCCTGTCGATTCATAGAATCCAATGACCTTGACATTTACCTTTTTCTGTTTCACAACTTTCTCCTCCAAACTCCTCAGCCTGTGCCTGGTGCTTATAACCTCATGCTGCAATCCCGGAGAACCCAGTGAGTGAGTTTCGCCGCTTGCCTGACTGAGGCTGTCTCGGGAACGCAGTGCTCGGCCCAGAGAGGAGCAGGCTTGAGCAGAACAGTGGGCCTGGTCCTTGAAAAGGAATGGAAAAGCAACTCCAGGGGAAGGGAGATCAGAAGTAGCAGCGTTCCTTCTCCCTCCAGCGGCCGGGGATGCTGCGCTCCCCCGGGGGTACATTCCCCAGCGCCGTTTGAGGCTGCTCAGCTCCATAAATGCCATTTGCATGGGGATAGGATGTAACAAGAGCTGTAAATCACTGACGGCGGAGTGAACTCCTCAGGGGCAGACACGGCGGAGCCGAGCCTCGGAAAGCTGGGGCAAAGTGTGAACGATATCTTTTGTTGGGGGGGAGGACTGATAGCAATTAGATGATACTTATCTGGCCCTTTGATGTGTATTTACACGAACAACGTTTTCCTCCGGGAGTTGCGCTATAAAGGAGGCCCGTGCTCCCCGACGCGCTCCTTCCCGGCATCTCCGAAACAAGGCACGATGACTAAGGCCCCTTTCTCCGTGGAATGGTTGTCCCAGAGCAGCCAAGCTCTCAAGAGCCCCACCAAGGGCTCCCCACACCGAGCTTCGTCCGCGGGCCACGGGCCCGGCTCCAGCGTCGGCCGGAGCGAGCGGGGCCAGGAGCCGCCGGCGGGCCCGCGGGACGGGACGGGCGGCCGGAGCCGGGAGCGCCTGGCGGCCACTCCCGCCGCAGGTACCGCGGGACAGCCGGGGGCTCCCGGGGGGGGACGGCGGGTCTGGGACACCCCGGGCCCGGGAAGGCACCACTGCGCCCTGGCTGCTCGGGGGCGGAGGGGGCGGGCGGTTCCCCACGCGGTGCCCGGGCCTGGCTGACCCTTTCCTTCTCCTCATCCCTGTGCGCAGGAGCAGGCGGGAGGCCATCGGGAGCGGAGCAGCCCGTGCCGGAGGAGGCTCCCGAGTGCCCGGGCCCCGAGGAGCCGTGCGGGCGCGGCGGGCGGCGGCTGCGCACGGCGTTCAGCGCGGAGCAGATCAGCACCCTGGAGAGCTCCTTCCAGCGGCAGCAGTACCTGGGCGCCGCCGAGCGCCGGCAGCTGGCGGGCAGGATGCGCCTCTCCGAGGTGCAGGTGAGCGGGGGCGCGGGCTCGGTGAACGGCGGCGGCACTGCTCCAAATAACGAGATAATCGAGCCTGGGTGGCGTTCTAACCTCGTCTCTTCTTCTCCCCCTGTACCCTTCCCCCAGATCAAGACGTGGTTTCAGAACCGCCGGATGAAGCTCAAGCGGCAGCTGCAGGAGTTGAGGACGGAGCCCTTCTGCAGCCCCGCTCTCCCTTACGGACCTCAGGGCGCTGTGGTGCCCCTGCCGCTCACATACGTGGCCCGGCCACCACCTCTGCCCCGGCAAGGGGCTGCCTCTGAGGGCTTCGCTGTGGCGGCCCTGCCGGCACCCGCCCTGGACCTCAGCAGCGCCTGCAGAGCACAGCCGGTTGGCTTTTGGGCAGCACCCTGCTTTGTGGGGTACCGGGACCCCAGGGCTTTCCTGCTGGGTGTCTGACCGTCTGATACCAGCTAGGACTAAAGAGGATTTGCACTACTGACAGATATGTGGGCTGCTCTCGTCCGTAACTGCTTGGTGGAGTTATGATGCAGCACCGATTTAAACATTTACAAAGACATGCTGGACAATCTGAATCGTGGACTTGAATTTAAAGGCAACTGTAAAATATAAACGGGGTGGGACAAACAATAATATAAATGGAATCTTTTAATAAACCTATTTTTTCCCAGCTTTCATGTGAATTCCTTTCTCGAGGATTGTAGGGATATTCATCCTGCCCCGAAAGAAAGCTCCTCTTCACTTAAAGAAGCATAGACTACTTCTTATCTAGATTTGTTCTGCCCCACCTGCAATTTACTCTGCCGCTGAATGCGAAAAAGCGTGAATTTCTCTCTGTCTTCTAAAGCAGGTATCCAACCCTTTCTGCTGCTTTCTGTCACGGAACTGTGTTTTTAGCCAAATGTGTGGATACACCTGCTACTTAATACTGGGCTTGGTATAGTTGCAGAACAGATGCTTTTAAGATTTAAAAAATTATTTTCTAAATAAGTATGATATCATATCTTCACGTTTTAATGAGCTACCTCAGTAGATTAGTAAGAATCTCTTACCTAAACAGATCATTGAAAGGATCTTGACATTTCTTATCTAGGAAAAAGTATCTGGTCATCTCACATGCAGTTATCAGGGTACAAGGGTGATGATCAAAAGAATTTTAACATTCCAAAGCTGGTTTTCCATAAGTGGCAGTAAAATTCCTTACCACTGTGCTATGCACTTTTAAAATTTGGATAATGAGCTAGTACACTGGTGATCAAAATGGCCTGATTTCAGGCCAGAAAAAGGGCTCTGAGAAATGATCTTTGACTGTAAGTTGACATAAATCTTTCAAAGTCAATTGTCAACTAACATGAAAAGAGCAATAAAAATTTCCATGACTTTAGAGGTGATCTGGGGGGGTTACTAGGATATTTCCGGCACACTGGTAATTTTAACTCCTGTAATGAATGGTCTGAGGGTTCTCTAGCAGCCTCCTTGAATATCTTTTGTATACAGAGGCCAATCTCCCGCTTGTTCCCTTGCCTGGTGAAAAGCAACATTATGTGCTGCTGTGGGGAGTGGGCTTTGCTGTCACCTCTTTTGTAATCTATGCTGTATTTTTCTAGTCTTTTGAGATAATAGTATTTGTTTGCAATTGCACAAATTGTGTATCTCTAATGCAAGAGTTTCAGCTAAATTAAAAAGGGCTCAGGTGCTATCAGTCTTGCTGAGATCTCAGGAACATTACACAGTTATGGATTAAGGAAGTTTGTTGACACATAAGTAAAATTCCCATTCGATGGAGGCTTATTTCTGGAAGTCAGATGTCATTAAACAGTAATATTGATTTGAAGAAATCTCTCTGACTCTTTCAAACATCATTAGGGAACTGGGGTGTCTCCAGAAAGAGCTGCAATGGTGAGTATTTCCCTCTGCTCTAAAGCAGTCATGTTTGAAATAACAAGACAGTCAAGGCCAATAAATGTACACTTACCATAAAAAAAAAATTAAGCATTAGACTCCATGTGGCTATTCTGTTTTCAAGGCAGTAATGGTTGAAGGGTTAGGAGTTCCCCTTATAATCTCGTTTGGCCACAGAGAAGAGCCCCACCACTCCTCCAAATGCTCTGCTCAGCTCGTACGAAAGGAATAATGATAATAACCCTTCCTGCTCTCAGAAGCCAGAGCGGCGGCATGGGAAGCTGGGGGTGAAGGAGCGGAGCGCTCTCTGAGGCCACCGGGACTGCCCGCAGCGTTCCGGGAGCGTCCCACCCCGGGCCAAACGGGGGAGGGTGAAAGGGAAGTGGGCATGGGCAGCGCCGCAGCTGGGCCCGGAGAAAGTGAGAGACAGATGGAAAGGCTCGGGAGGAGAGAGGGAGAACAAAGTGCTCCCGCCTGCGGAGGGGAGCTGCTTCCTGGGAGGGGAACTGCGGGGATGGAGTTTGTGCAGGGGAGGAGGGTGCCATCGTCTCCACCCCAGTGCTAAAAAGGGAGAGGCAGGAGCACTCTCTTATCGGCCCCCATGTCCCCGGGGAGAAGTGAACTGGGGTGGCCCTGAACGAGCCCTCATTCCCTGGGTCTGCCCTCCCCGCTCCCGGGCTCGTAACGCGGAGCTGCAGCCGCCGGGCTGGGCTGTCGCGTCCGACGGGCGAGCGGCGCGGAGCCGGCCCTGCCCTGCCCTGCCCTGCCCTGCCCTGCCCTGCCCTGCCTCCTCAGCCTGCCCTGTCCTGCCCTGCCCGCACCCGAGCTGGGCTCCGCCGCGCCCGGCGGTGCCCGGAGCGGGGCAGCAGCTTCCCCTCCGTGCGGAGGTTTAGAGCCAGGCAGAGACAGACGGTGCTGCCGGGCACAACGCGCAGTGTTGCCGTCCTTGCCGTGATTTAATCCCGCGGGGTTTGTGGGGACAGCGCTGGGACAGGAGCGCTGCGAGGCCGAGCGGCAGCAGCCCCGGGGCGGTCTCGGGGATGGTCTCACCGTACCGGGGGCTGTGTGCGGCTCCCCGTGCTCTGGCCGAGGCTGGCGGGTTTCGTGCCAGGGGCGAGCGCTGGTTAGCGGGACTAGCGGGGCATCCCAGCTCTGGGCGTAGGAGCTGCAGAGCGGCTGGCGAGGCAGAAGCCGCTCTCTGTTCGAAAGGGTGCTAATGGTCACTTAACATAATGAGTCCTTGGCCGCAGGTATATTCTGCAAGCACATGAAATACCTTGCCAGTGTTTTGGCAGGGCTAGCTTGCAAATACTCTTCTGTTTCCCGGTAATTGCTCAAATGAACGCGACAGGTGATGCTCACTTGGCCGAGTCCCTAATGCTATCAGGTTCCTCTGAATATCTACACGATAATTTCTCTCCGACCTGCAAAACCCGGCTTTCTCTAGAAAGCAACTACTACGTTCCAGTTGTCTAAAATCTTTACGTGAAGTAATTTAATTTTTGCTAAAGATGTCCAACTGTGGCATTAAAATGCGAACGCACGTTTTCCCTTTGATCTGAGAGAAAGAAACTCGGACTTCATGCTTCATGCCATCAGATTACATGAATTCAAACATCCTGCTTGTTTGAATTTCTCCTTCACTATGTTTTAGCCCTGGCAGCAGTAGAGGGGCACTAGTGTCAGTGATACCTGCACGGTCCCAGCCCCTCGCAGGAGATGGGAGCGGTCCGGCACCGCAGCCGATTCCCGGGCAGCCCCGGCAGCGCGGCGGGGAGCGCCCCGCCTTTGTGTCTTCAATCGCACCGCAACAAACCAGCCCCGGAACGCTCTCCAGCAGCACAAAGGGATGTGGGCAAGTGAGATACAAATGGGAAGAAAAAAAAAAAAAAAAGAAAAAAAAAAAAAAGCCGGGTCGATTAGTTGGGGAGGAGTAGTTTAATGCCCGTGGGGTGAAATTGTCGGAACCCCCCGGCCCGGCGGCTCTCGAGGAAGAGGCTGTATAATCTGGAAACTGGGCTCCCCGGGGAGGAAAAGGGGATGGGAGGAGAAAATTGCCAGAGCGCTAACTTCAAAGATCTTCTCCCCTGCAGTGCGTGCGCGGAGGGGGAGAAACCTGATTGAATTAACACCGCGGGGCGGGGAGCCGCCAGCAGCCGCGCTCGGAACCGCCCGTCCCAATTTGGCTAAAGCAGCCATCAGGGCACTGGGGATAGGATCGGGGTGTATCACCCCCCTGCAGCTCCTAGACATGGTGGAGCCACTCCAGGGACCTCTTTACAAACTAGGTGAAGTTATTCGGCGTTGTGTGCTAATCGAGAGAGATCTTGCACTGTTAGGCCATTACATCTAATTGCTGCCCATTATCTCTTTCTTTGATACTCAATTAGATGACAATTAACTTGATAAATCCCACCGAAGTGGAGGGGGGAAGAAAGAGGAGAGACTTCTTGGTCTCGACATGTTCCTTGTGTAGATTTTATTACTCTTCCTTTATATTTGTGTCTTAAACTCCTAGGCTTCAACCTAGTATTATCCTCTAATAGTACCTAGCAGGGAGCTAATCCCAGTGTCTCTTCGGCATTCAGGCAGGCTAAGTGCTTTCATTTCTATTTCAGCTCCTAGTTACTCTGCCTGGGCAATTCTGAACAACTGTGGAGGTGTCACAAGTCCTCAGGCACTGTGGCCATCGCGTGCATAGAAATTCAAGTGCTAGTTTGTTTCGAGCTAACTTGTGCTTAACTTATCTAGGTGCTTTGTCCATTAGTTCTGCAAAGCACGCAGAAATATTCCCCCGATAAATCGTTTTTAATGCAAAGAGCGTGTTGGCTCCCACAGTGGCTGAATGGGGATATCTGGGCTTGCAGCGTGAGTCGGGAGGGAAGAGGGTGAAGCGCTGCCGGCTGAGTCAGTAGCATTTGTCATTTATTGTGTGTTAGCCCGCATTGTTCCCGTGGGCAAAGGAGCGGCGGGGTGATGGCACTGTTAGTGTTCACGGGTACTTCAAACAGAAAAGCATCTATTCCCAAACAATCGATCTCGTTGATGCCTAATTGACTATCTAATAGCACCTATCAGGACATCAAAGGAGACGCTGAATAACCAAGTTAGCATTTCCAAAGGGGAGCAGTGGAGGGTACAAACAGCCATCAGCTGTCCCACCGGCCAGGAGCCCAGCCCGGGCCTGAGCGCCTGCGATTCCTGGGGCCCCTTCTGAAGCAAACTCTTGTCTTGCCTGCACTTTTAGCCATGTTAAAACCCCGTTCCTTAAAAAGCGTTCACTTGCCTCTGAAGGGGTGCTACACTTCCCCAGGCTCTGTCCTCCTGCCCATTGCGCAGCTAAACAAGTTTTTTCGTGGTGTTCCAATGTTGGAGTCTTTTTGGTTTGGATTTGTTGGGTTTTTCGCTTTCTCATAGTGGAGTGGGTGGCATTGCACACCCTATCATCTCCACTCCTCTGGTTTTGTCAATAATATATTGGAAAATCTGTGCTTTTCATAAATATAATTAAGATCTGCCTATGATGGAGTCACTGTCCCAGACCTGGTGGCCTAGTACATCGACTCTCAATCTATGATAAATGCTATGATAGTTTGGTCTATATGTTGTTTTGGGGGTTTTGTTTGAGATTGGTTTTCGGGTTTTTTGTTGTTTTTTTTTTTTTTTTTTTTCCCCATGGTTACCTACAGACATGGCTAGCAGGTAGAAAGTTTGCAACATGAAGATTTGCCCAACTATGCCAGCAATTATCATTCCCCTTGACAAG